CTGTCAAGGGGGATGCAGAGGTACTGTCTCTTACCCGAGCTACATGTACCACAAACATGCTCTCACTCCAAGGTGTTCAGCTGTTCATTTTTCCCCCCTCCCCTATTCTCTACAAGTCCACGTTTTACATCATCCTCAGCACTGTGGCCATGAGTCTGGACACCACGGAGCTTGAATTCGACCTGCAGCTCCAAACGTCAGTACAGCCGAGACTCGTGACCAGCTGTGAAACACACACTTTAGCTGCACTGGTTCTGGTGCCTTCTCACCTGGTTCGCCTCACAGTGTTGATTCTTGCCTTTCAGGACCAGCGTGCAAACCATAGACCAGGTCAGAGTAAAGGCTCGTGTGACGATTGAACTGCCGCTGACACTCAGTGGGTGAGTGTGGGTGTGTGTGTGTGTGTGTGTGTGTGTGTGTGTGAGGGTGTGTGTACAACTACTACATCAGTGCATTTGTCTGTTTGATCTTCCACCAGTGTGTAAATGTAACATGTGTGCATGTGGTTTTCAGGGAGGCCAGTCCTAACCTGGTCTCTTTTGGTGGAGTTGTCAAAGGAGAAAGTGCCATGACCACAGAAGAAGAGATTGGAGGCTTAATCAACTACGCCTTCAGAGTAGGTTGACACAGGAGACCAGTTTATATAATAAAACAACAATAATAATAATGATCACTATAATAACAATGAATATTGTTGTTATCCTTGTTGTTATTAGTAATAAGTAGTAGCAGCAGCTGGATTGGTATTATTAAAATGAGATTAAACTAATAATAATAAATAATTAAATAATAACCAATTATTATTGTTATTTTAGTGGTAGTAGTAGCAGTAGTATAATAACAATAAATATATATTTCCCCCCTTTTAGTAATTTAAATTTTTTTTAGATTTTAAATTTTTTTTACAGTGAGAAGAAATCCAATTTGATGCAGTATTACTTATGTTAGTTAAAATTTTGTAATACAACATTTTCATTCATTAAACAAAATTAACCTAAGACTTAGTTATAATTCGTTTGCAAATGGAAATAAAAAAGACATTTTTAGGACATTCTGACATTAGTCAATTTGCTGAATCAGAAACTTTACCAGATAAATACATGTAACTTTACTGAGGTTTGATACGAGGGTCTTTTTTGAAGAACATTCACAATACTTTTTGTATATATTTTAACTTATTACTAACTTATTATTACTAACTACAGGTTAATATTCAGTCTATTAAACGTCCAAATTTGAGATTTTATAAGTTACTGTTTGACTTTCCTGCTAATTTTACTACACAGCTGCCCTTGCTAATGTTTGAATATGTAAATCACTCTTCATTACGCACATCGTTATTGGTTTTATCTGTAGCTATCTGTAGCAGATGAATGAGGTTTAAATTAGGTTAAATAATATAAACGACTTTAAGTTTACTTTGTGTTTCCTGCAGGTCAACAACTTGTGGAAAACTCTGAAGCCCTCCATCAAACCCTCCCTGCACATTCACTGGCCCAAATTCAACAGAGACGGTAAATGGCTGTTGTACCTGGTGAAGGTCACAGCTGCAGGAGAGGAGAACGTCCGCTGTTCTCCACAGTCTGAGATCAGCTCTCTCAAACACATCAAGGTGAGACTTTTATACTTTTGATTCTCACTACTAATGTACCTTCATACAGAACTATTTGCTGCTTCAATATTCAATATACTTAGTTTGTATTAAAAGGGTTGTGTTTTCAGGAGTCCACTGTGCCACGGACAAAACGGGAAATTGAAAGAAAAGGGAAGAAAGTCGTTGGAAAACTGTCTTCTCCGTCAGACAAGGACAGGATTCTGGTGAGTCACTGTGTTCGTAGGTTGATATTGTTCTACCGTGATGTTGACTTGTCGTCTAATAACTTAATCTTTTCTTATTTAAGTCGTGTGAGAATGGGATGAAATGTGTGGTGCTTAAGTGCCCTCTAAAGGGTCTAGATGGTACTACAGTTGAGCTGCGGTCGCGTCTGTGGAACTCCACCTTCATTGAGGTGATGTTCTGTATTTTAACAAGTCTTAGAATTTAAAAAACTGCTAGTTTGTCGTGCTTTCTGTGTCATTAAAGTCGTTTTTGTCTCCCCACAGGACTACACCTCAGTGCCAACATTACACATTGTTGTGAAGGCAACACTCGTACTTCACGGACAGGCTGAGAACATGATCCTGACAACTCCTGACACCAAGGTAAGACGGTCAACAGCTTCACATATTTAAAAAACCCGACACTGCACTAATGCCAGTAAGAATATCCGCGTACCACTGCAAAAAATACCTGAATTTCAACGAGGTTGAACTCGACTACCAGTGATGACGTCACACAACAGTATCGTTTAGTTTGCACGGTTTTCACCACTTGTGTCATTTGAAACAGCGGGTTTAAAAAGTACTATTGTTAAAGATACTATTACTCGAGTATAAGCCATTGAACTCACGTGACATCTTCTGTATCAGGTCACAGTGGCAGTGTCTCCTGAAAGCACCGTAGCACATTACGGTGGCGTCCCCTGGTGGATCATTCTGGTAGCTGTTCTGGCTGGAATCCTGATCCTGGCTCTGTTGGTATTTCTGCTCTGGAAGGTAAGAACAGGACCGTGTCATCGATGGCTGGGAAAACAGCAAATGGCAGTGTTTAGGTTTTTTATTTCCTGTGATATTTAAATTTCTGTTTATAATGTTGTTAAATCACATATAAAGAAAGTAAATATGATGTAATGCAGGGAACAAAAGGCAGCCAGGTATTTCTTTAATATTGTCGATATAACAAAAAGCAAAGTCATGTCTCTTTAATGTGGTTAAACTATCAATATATTACATTACATTATTGTTTTAACAGCATTGGTTAAAATAATGTTAACACGCATTGCATTTATATGCAAACCTTGCTGAATTAGCAGTCAGTCTGTTCTCTGAACATTTCTGTCTGAAAAACCTAAAGACGACGTTCTGTTCCTCCACTGTTAGAAACACTTCCTGTTAGCACTGTGTAACTCCTAACCACCCCTAACCCTGACTCCTCCTCCTCAGTGCGGCTTCTTCAAGAGAGCAATCAAAGACCAGTATGATGCTGCATTTCACAAGGCAAAGATCAGCGTTCAGCTGTCTGACAAAGACAAACTCTCTGCTGAGGCCTGATTATTACTCTGAACAGGGGTAAAACCAGCATGGAACGGGCCTCCCGCTCTCTGTAGTCTGAGTTCAGCTCATGCAGAAAACCTGTAACAACACACATATTGTACAAAGCTGGCAATGCCTTGACTTTTAAAAAAACTCAATAGGTGGAAAATGCAAGTTTATACTAGTGTTTCAAAACTCAGCAGCCAATTTGCCCCGCAGGGGGTGCTATTCAGGCAGTTTCAGTCACATGACAGAAACAAGAACAGTTCAGTTGCCCAATAAAATTGACTGAATTAGTTTTTTTTATCTACTTTCAAGTTTCAACCCATCATAGGCAAATGTTAAATAATTAAAATATTTAAAAAAAACACCATTTAAATATTTTAAGGCTACTTGCTTTTGTACAATATGTGGCAGATAATTTGCAAATAAATAATGACTTTTGCCAATAAGCATCAGACTTTATCTAATCAAAATTCACTTTTTGTACTAAACCGCTGCAGCTTTTGCCGAAACACTAAGGTTTTTTTTATGCAAAGCATGCCTAACATTCTCCTGCACAGCTTCGCTCTGTTTTTTAGATAGATGCTGACATCTTTGTGGCGTTGGTCTGTTTTTTTTACTGTCTTCTTGCTGATATAATACCTGGTTTGCCTTTTTGTCTCCTGTCAGTGTGGATTCTTCAAACGCTCCAAACAGGACAGCAGCGTTCCTCATTACCACGCTGCACAGATAAAGAAAGACAATCCAGAGTACAAAGACGGAAAGGTGGCGATGGAAGCTCTGGAAAAGAAGCAGTGGATGAAGTGGATCGACAACGAAAGCTACTCCTGAGACAAAATGTTTTAAAGTACAGCAACTGATGATATAAACGAGGCACAAAAACACTGAACTGTGTCAGAAATGACAATCAATGTCACTGAAGAAGCTGCTTTTAGCTTTGTACTGTCTTTACACTGTAAAAATACAGGAGAGGAAGAATAGATTTTTTAACAGTCAGAATCCTGGTTTTAAAGTGACATTTATATATAAAATAATATTTTGAGTTAAATAATTTCCTTAAATTTTTAATTAGAAATATAACAATTAAAAATGAAGACAGCTGACTTTAAGCTGAGACCAAAAATAAGAAAAATAATGTTATGGAAAAAAGACTAAAGATAAAACACTGACATTCTTCCCCTCCTGTATTATTTGTAATTTTTAAAATGTGTTAATATTTTACTACCTACACACACACACTGTATATTTATTTTTGATAATAAAAAAATATAATGCAGCCAAAGACTTTTCTTTTACCTTGGTATTTACAAAGGGGGAATATTTACTACTGCATTTGTGAATGTACTGTTGATGTAAACTGTGATGCCGATTGTCTCCTGTCAGATGAATTCCAAAATAAAGTAACCAAAATGTCTATGAAAAGACATTTTCTGTAGGTACAAAACCAAAGTCTCACAACTGTGGCATTCAGGGAACGTCCACTGTGTTCAGTTTATCACTGAGTCGTGAAGTTTCTTTTTTTTATTACATGTTGTTCTAAAGGGAAGTCTGGTTTTATAGAAATGTTTTTAAGTCGTACTTTTTGGTTGAACTGTCATACAATAAAATACTATGAATCTGTCTGTCGCTCTGTCTGTTCCTGCAAAATCTAGGGAGGTTAGTGGGAATGATTTATCTCGACTCATCATGATTCATCACGTTCAAATGTGATCGCAATTAATCAGGATCATTCCACAGCTCTGTGATTAGTCAGATTAAAAATTGGTTGATATTTCTTTTTTCAATAAAGGGTCTCTGGTTTCAAAATGTAACCATTGCTGTAGTGTCTGTAATGTGTAGGGGAAGTTGCAATTTGGAGCATGACTCCTGTTTAGACACTCACTTATAAACACAACTGTAAAAGTCCAAGATGTTAATGGGTTTAAAGCAGGGGTCTCAGACTCGCGGCCCGGGGGCCAAGTGCGGCCCGCAGTACAATATTTTGTGGCCCCTCACCTTAAAATGAAGGTATAATATCAGTGTGGCCCGCGGAGAAAGTGGGCTTCCGAAGAGCCAATCA